AGATTGGAGCTATTTCTAATGAAGGACTTCTTGCTACATTTAACAAGGCAGAAGGTACCCTACAGTAAATATATGTGTGACTGGGAGAGGGAGCTATTTCTAATGAAGGACTTCTTGCTACATTTAACAAGGCAGAAGGTACCCTACAGTAAATATATGTGTGACTGGGAGAGGGGAAGGGAGCCAAACTCTTGCTTTGATCAGGAACCCACTCTGGTGATAACAGAACCACTTCTACAACAGTGACCTTCACTCATCACGCAAGTCCTCCTGCATAACCACCTCTTAAAGGTCCTTGTCCAACACTGCTACATTAAGGGTCAAGTTCCCAGCATGTGGACTTGGGACACAGTCAAACCAGAGCACTGAGGAAATTACGTGCACTTTGCAGCTTCCCCTGATCTAATTAAGAAAATGCAGCAGGATGTGACAGTGAATGAATACTTAAAAATCCTTGAGTATCCCCTTTTCTATTAAGCAAAACAGCCTTAAGGAGTAAATGTAGAATGCACACAATTAAAAAGGTCAATACTAGCAAATGATTAAGCTTCTTCCTTCTTAGGACAATCAGATTGAAAGTTGGCTAAAACAGAGGCAACTTCACTTCCACGTGTGAAATACATATTGTACTCATTAAGCCTACCTTTGGCCCTCAGCTCCACCCAGACCTGCTGGCCCCTCCCTCCCCCCCCCCCCCCACCTAGACCCACCTGAGCTCCCATCTACCTCACTTCCTCGTCAGCTGCTGCTGCTGCTGCTATCTAGATAGTGGAGGCTGCCATGCGCTCTCTCTCCAGGGCAAATATGGCTCCTCTAATAAACCTTGCACTAATCTTTCTCCTGTGCCTGCCTGCCTCCACATGGTCCCCTGGCATGGGTGTGATGGATCCTCTCACTGATCCTTTCATGTATAATTTCACAAAAATCTAAATCCTCAGGCTCTGAATATGTGGATTCAGTCAAGAGATTTAAAAAAAAAATCTTTGGGGAAAAAAATTCCAGAAAGATCCAAAAAGCCAAACTTGAATATTCCATGCTCCAAGAACTTGACTGAGTCCATGTGAACGAGATGTGTGCGCACACTATGCTGTAGCCTCCAGCCTCCCTCAATCTTTCTCGAGCAGTGGTTTGCCATGTTACCTTCGGGTACATTTTAGTAGTGCTAGACCTACAATGCTTGCATCTGTACTAAGTATACACATGCTTTAATTCCATGTCCTTCTTGTCTACTACATAACTATTTACGCAGTATTTGCACCGAGTTAGATACCAGAAGTATTCTAGAGATTTTGAAAGTGTATGAGAGAATGTATGTCAATTATTTTACAGTTTTACACACTTCATTTAAGCATGTATAGATTTTGGTTCCCTAAGAAGGGGTAGGCCTTACACCATCCACCCAAGGACAAGGACAGATGACCGTGCAGTGAAAGAAGACTCCCTCCCTATTCCCTTCTGCCAGAAGTCCAAGCTCAAAAGGACCTCCCTGTATCTAATGAAGTAGGTATCCCATGGCAATCCCGTTCCAAGACTTAGAAACAAAGATGCCCCATTTTCTAAGTCAAACTGTGCATACTGCTGTCTTCTCACACTGCTGAACCCAGGACCCAGGCACAAGAATGTGGGCATGACAAAGAAACTCCAAGTCCAAGCAGGGAGCATTCAGTGATCATGTCCCAAATACGTCTACTCCGTTTAACCTTAGATTTAAATCTTAGATACATTACTGTCCTCAGTATTCACTAAATTCCTCCCCCAAAGCCCAATGAATAAAGCAAAAACACACATGGTGTAACCCTTTGATTTCTGCCAGCTGAACTCTGGCTCTCTATTGCTTTGATTTTCAAGGAGAATTCTTGGTCCACATTGTCTTCCTCAAGGCTCTTAAAGTTACTACTCTGCTCTGACCCTGTTCTGTGGGCTGAGAGTAAGGTGCCAAGCTGACTTCCTTCCAAAAGGCAATCAGGAATACTGGATCTTTGAAATCTGTCGCTTCCTGATGGTTTGCACATCTTTTGTTTTCTCATTTTCTCCCCACCACAGTGTACTTTCATATCTCTTCCTGGGTACACTGTCAGCAAGGCCTTCACTTCTCAGATGCTCATGCTCTTCTATGTTTTCCTGAGCTCAGTTAGAACTCATTTACATTTTCTATTCTTGAGTTAATCCCTAACTTATTATGTTCTATATTACCTAGTTGGTTAACTATATTTAAGTGAGATTTATTAGGTTTGTTGCACTGTTAAGACATTGCTTTGCCTTAGAGTTCTTGTTTCTGTTTTTCATTTTGATTTTTTTTTTTTTTTTTTAGAGGATTTGGATGGTTCTGGGGAGGTTTGGGGGCTTGAACTCAGGGCCTGGGCACTGTCCCTGAGCACTTTAGGTCAAGGCTAGCACTCTGAGCCACAGCACCACTTCTGATTTTCTGGCGGTTAACTAGAAGAGTATTAAGGACTTTCCTGCCAGAGCTGGCTTTGAACTGTAATCCTCAGATCTCGGCCTACTGGGTAGCTAGGATTATAGGCGTGAGCCACCAGCACCCAGCTTAGATCTTTTTTTCTTTTCTTTTTTTTTTTGGTCAGTAATGGGGTTTGAGCTCTGGGCCTGGGCGCTGTCCCTCAGCTCTTCAGCTCAAGGCGAGCTCTACCACTTGAGCCACAGCATCACCTCCACTTTTCTGGTGGTTAATTGGAGATAAGAGTCTCATAGACTTTCCTGCCTGGGCTGGCTTTGAACCACGATCCTCATATCTCAACCTCCTGAGGAGCTAGGATTATAGGCATGAGCTACCAATGCCAGGCTTAGAATTTGTTACAAGATTTGTTTTTCACTATCTGCTTCCCTTCCTCTTTCCCTCCCTGCTTCTCTTCCTTCTTTTTTTTTCTCTCTCTCTTCCCTTCTATCTTCTTTCTCTGGTCCCTTCTATCATAATAATGAATGTTGATTGAACCTGCTATAGTAGAGGATTCTATTCTAAGAAGGGAAGCTGGAATGTGTTCATGTCTACCATACATTAAAGCCTAATATCTTCTATGAACTACCATTTCTGGGAGTGGTATGACAATGTCCATTCTAAATGTCACTGTCTTATCTAAGAAAGGTCAATTTCATTCTTTTCTTTCTTATCAGGGCTCCTAGAAACACCAACCATCTATGGAAATACCCTGTACATGTATGTCCCCCAAATGGCCACCTCTGATTAGCATGTTTTAGTTCATTTGCTAGCCAAGAGAGAAGACCCAGGACCCCACCTGGGAGCTCCTCTTCTGAAGGCAGACCCCCTCTATGATGCCAGTGTCTTTGGACAATCTCCTGTCCTCTGCTATGTCCTGACTATGGACATTCCCCTCACTTCCAGTGTGCAGAATTTTCTGTCTCACATGTATGTGGCACATATGAGCTGTAAGTGGTCCTATATACCCTTATCATTGGCTGGTACAGTGCTGGAAGGCTGTGAGGACATATACAAACTTAGATGGGCTCAACTAACCTAAGGAACCAGGAAGTCTAAGGTATCCTTTGAAGCTCACCAGAGTTACCATTTCTCTTCTAAGCTGAAAGTCCTTACAGTCTTCTTCTGATAATCTGGATAGCTTCTGCTTCTACATCTCCTACAACAGCATAGAACTCCCTCGCCACACACTCCCCCCTTCAGGGTTATGACCAGACTACTCTCAATTTTTAGACCTTGAAATGCTTCTACGTTGTCTAGCAAATACCTCTGACTTGTAGGAAATCATAAGCAATATAAACCAGAAAGAAAAAGGAAGGAAAGGAGGAAAGAAAATAATATTCCAAATTCTTTTTTTTTTTTTTTAAGTGTCAGTCCTAGGGCCTGGACCCTGACCCTAAGCTATTATTCAAGGCTAGTGCCCTATCACTGAGCCACAGCTCCATCTTTTTGGTGGTTAACTGAAGAGTCACATGGACTTTCCTGCCTGGCTGGATTTGAATCATGGTCCTCAGACCTCAGCCTCCTGAGTAGCTAGGATTACAGGTATGAACCAGTGGCAACCAGCATTGATATTCCAAATTCTTAACAGTGATTATATTCAAACTTTTTGTATAAACAAAAATACCTATTTATAATACTTTTTCTTATATATGACCTTTCAAAAGAATTTGTTTTTATCAAAATAATTTTTTGTAAAAGAACAGAAAGAGCTGTATTTTGAAACTCATTTCATAATCCTTACCACTTGGACACACTTCCTCCTATTCTATAAAGTGACATCCACCTCTCCACAGACTCTAAACAATCTTACAGGTCCCCTCATTTGCATATGCACGGTTTGTATATAAGATGTCACTTAAGTTCTGTAAGTGGTTTCTCAGATGATGACACTGCCTGCCAATTTCGTGTGACCAAAAGAGTGAAACAACAGAAATCTTCTAAAGATGGTTGCATCAATTAAAAATAAACCATAGACACATATTAAAATCCCTTACTGCAAGTCATTTATGGTATGTTATTAGCTAATAAAATAAATAGAAGCTAAAAAAAAAGATACTGAATTCTTCCAATCCTAGTAGACAGGTGTAGAGGAGCTTAAAGACCTTTAAAGAGTTTACCAAACGCCGTAACAAAATGAATGTGGAATAAAATACATTTAGTACTTGAAGAAATGTTCAAATAAGCATACACTCAAATGATTCAATAGCTAGAAATGATGCAAACATCGTAGCATACCAACTATTATTGAAAGCCAAATGAATTGCTAAACTATATCATTATACTGACTCATGTAGTAGGTGAAAAGATTTTACCAAATGCTAACTATGTCAAGAAATCAGAAAATCTGCACTGAAGTACCTCACAGGAATACGAGTAACAAAAACACACCCAAGAATTTGGCACTTCCTCTAGCTTTTCCCTTTTTAGTCCAAAGCTTCTGTGCAAATTACTCTAGACTGAATTATTCTCTCAGAACAAGGGCCTACTACCTTTAATTTATGATGAAAATGGTTACTGTTAAACTGAATAAAATATTTTAACTCACCCTGGTAAATGTCCCTTCAAAACTATGAATATCCAGTTGTGGCTTCTGAGCATAAACATAAGCACTGATAGAAAAAAGATCCTGGAATACAAAAAGAAAAGAAAAGGATTAATTTCAATGTTACATTGAAATACATTGACTTGGAATTTTTTAAATCACTAATTAAAATTATTCATGTATTATGTGCTAGAGGTTTTTTTGTTTTTGATGGTGCAAGGGTTTAGACTCAGGGCTTCGTGCTTACCAGTTATCAGTCTAAACTCCTGACACGTGGCAATCATACCCTGTGACCTTAGCCAGATCTGCAGGTCAAGAGGACATCGCCAGGAAGGTGAACCTTTCCAGCCTACAAAGACAGAACCCTTGCTCCCTCACCAGTCCCCAAGGACATCTCATGTGCTTGCTGTGGCTTGTAGCAGTGGACCAAGAGTCTGAGGTTCCTGACATTGGTAAGGCAATTTGGATACTGCGTTCTCCAGCTGAGAAAGCAATGTTCTCCAGGCCACTCCCAAGACATATGGCTGGGATGAAAGGAGTGGGGATGATCACAGAAAGATCTTGTAAAGTTCTGGAAATTCAGGGTCTCCTCTTGACCTGATTCTTAAACATGTGTCCTTCTGGCCAGGTTAGGTTACATAAAAAATTTCTCCTCTGAAAGCATGCTTTTGTCCTCCCTGCGTGCAATCCCAGGTGAGACGTCAGGGGAGGTTAGGGACATGACAAGACTGACAGATGGAATGCCGCGGTTTCGTAACAACCAAACCTTGGAGAGGGGGGTATGAATGACTTCGTCATGACTGTCTGGAGGTTTTCCCTCAGTTTGTCTAGCTGGTAAGCTCAAATGGCACATGACAGAACAGAAGTTTAAGACCAGCTCTGTAGTGGATGGACTGTGTTTTAACTGACTAAGGACATGTCTAATGAGACAGAGGGAAGAGGGACTCAACTCTCCCCAGGGCACTGGGGAAGGAGCTGGACAGTAGGAAGAAGTGTTCAATGCTGTTAAGCACTGTTAGATACCGTGAAGTTTAGTGTTAAGCTTCCTTTATTGTAAGTACTCTAAAAAGTGTTGTCTCTGTGAGTGGAGGAGACCCAGCGAGGGAACCACTCAGGCCTCTGAATGGCAGCAGGAACACCTTCCCTTGCACCTAGCAGCGTGGAATGGGGACTGCAAACCTGCCCACTAGGCAGCCCTTTCTCTGGTGTGGGATGTCACATATCAAATATGAGTTGACTGTCCCATCAGCATTGGACTACCTCCTCTGGGCTCTCAACAGAGGCAGAAACTCATTTTATTTGAGTGTACTGGTCAAGTTTCATTGCATGAATGAGAAGAGTTCTAGGCTGGGAAGATGGCTCAGTGGTAGAGCGCTTGCCTTGCATGCTTGAGGCCCTGGGTTCGATTCCTCAGCACCACATAAGCAAAAAGAAAAAAGCCGGAAGTGTCGCTGTGGCTCAAGTGGTAGAGCGCTAGCCTTGAGCTGAAGAGCTGAGAGACAGCGCCCAGGCCCAGAGTTCAGGCCCCATAACTGGACCCAAAAACAGAAGAGTTCTAGGTCCTACAGTAACACAACACAAGGCATCCAAAGACAAGAGGTTCATTACTGAACCTCCAAAATCACTCTGGATTGATACTGAAACAATCTTTTGTGAAAGATGCCTCTATGAGGAGGACCAAGACTGCAGGTGATAAAAGGTGGTGCTCAGGGCATGCGGGGCACTTCCACAGGGCAGCTGCCCTGCAAACCCTGAAGCCCAGCTGCAGCCCAGGGTCTCAGACTCAGGGAGGACACTGCTGCCTCACCTGCTCCTGCTTCTCAGATCCTTCTGAGTGCACCCAACTGTGGAAGCTAACTGCCAATCCTTCCGGGAAGGGGAAACAGGAACTACTTGTCCACTCACCAGGGAACAGAGGCTAGTCTGATGGAACAGAGCTGAACATACTCCAACAGGGTTGTGACTGCAGCTTAGACCACACAGAAACAACTTACAGTCAAGTTAAGCTGCAGCTAGTTTACAACATAAAGTAACTTGAGAGTTGTAGAAAAAGGTCCAAAGCGTCCAATAAATTGCCAGAATAACCTATGGATACAGCAAATCTGAAAATGAATCCTACTTATCTTATTTATATTTATTAACTTACTTTTTTTTTACTTTTTTTGCTAGGCAGACATTCTACCACAGAGCCACAACTTTAAGGTACCTACCCAGATTTTGACCAGCCTGTTTAACATCTTATCATAGGTGGGATGACTGTACACTACCATGCCTTTTTGTTCAGATGGAATCTTACAGGCTTTTTGCCTGAGCTGAACTGGAATTGCAAACCTCCCCATCTTAGCCTCCTTTGTAGCTAAGAAGATAAGCATGCATCACCTTGTCCAGCTACAGCTGAGAAGGGGTTTTATAAACTTTTCTTCCTGGGCTAGTCTCAAACTGTGATTCCTCCCCATCTAACCCCCCATTCTCAGCCTCCTAAGTAGCTAGAAATAAAGGTGTGAGCCACCAGTACTCAGCAGAATAACTCCTTATTTAAATACTATACCATCAGAATGATTTTCAAAACATGAACCTTTCATACCAGAGCCTACGTTTTAAAACGGAAAAAAAAAAAAAAGCTGGCAACAATCCTCATTTCTCCATGCACATGAATATTTAGAAGAGTGTGTTTCATCTCGTATATTAGACATCAAATGACTGAATAATGACACAATAATGAGAATGTCATTTGAAGCTTTTCATGATAATTTAAAAATCATTCTGAAGTTTCCAATAATCTAGGAAAGCCTCTGCTATTAGGTCAAGGGCAACATTTGTTCACATTAGTTAAAGGTCATTAAAATACATCCTTAATCATAACATGTGGTTCATTACAAATAAAATTGCCTTTCATTCAATAAAACTAATTAAATGTAAATGGTATTGTTTACTGCTATATGGATCTTTTGAAATAAATCAGCAAGTCATGATTTATTGAAAATTACTGACTCTCATGATTGTTAATAAATTTGCTTCATCACAAAAGCAAGAAAACTATTTCCCAAATGTCTACTATGTCTGTGATCACTACCTCCCCCATGTTAGTGTCTGTGATCACTACCTCTCCCATGTCAGTGTCTGTGATCAGTACCTCCCCCATGTCAGTGTCTGTGATCACTACCTCTCTCAAGTCAGTGTCTGTGGTCAGTGCTCCACGACAGTGTCTGTGATCAGTACCTCCCCCATGTCAGCGTCTGTGATCAGTGCTCCCCACGTCAGTGTCTGTGGTCAGTGCTCCCCACGTCAGTGTCTGTGATCAGTGCTCCCCACGTCAGTGTCTGTGGTCAATGCTCCCCACGTCAGTGTCTGTGGTCAGCGCTGCCCACGTCAGTGTCTGTGGTCAGTGCTCCCCATGTCAGTGTCTGTGATCAGTGCTCCCCACGTCAGTGTCTGTGGTCAGTGCTCCATGTCAGTGTCTGTGGTCAGTGCTGCCCACGTCAGTGTCTGTGGTCAGTGCTCCCCACGTCAGTGTCTGTGATCAGTGCTCCATGTCAGTGTCTGTGGTCAGTGCTCTCCACGTCAGTGTCTGTGGTCAGTGCTCCCCACGTCAGTGTCTGTGGTCAGTGCTCCATGTCAGTGTCTGTGATCAGTGCTCTCCATGTCAGTGTCTGTGATCAGTGCTCCCCACGTCAGTGTCTGTGATCAGTGCTCCCCACGTCAGTGTCTGTGGTCAGTGCTCCCCACGTCAGTGTCTGTGGTCAGTGCTCCATGTCAGTGTCTGTGATCAGTGCTCTCCATGTCAGTGTCTGTGATCAGTGCTCCATGTCAGTGTCTGTGGTCAGTGCTCCACGTCAGTGTCTGTGATCAGTGCTCCATGTCAGTGTCTGTGGTCAGTGCTCCATGTCAGTGTCTGTGGTCAGTGCTCCATGTCAGTGTCTGTGATCAGTGCTCCCCACGTCAGTGTCTGTGATCAGTGCTCCCCACGTCAGTGTCTGTGGTCAGTGCTCCCCACGTCAGTGTCTGTGGTCAGTGCTCCATGTCAGTGTCTGTGGTCAATGCTCCCCACGTCAGTGTCTGTGGTCAGTGCTCCCCACGTCAGTGTCTGTGATCAGTGCTCCATGTCAGTGTCTGTGGTCAGTGCTCCACGTCAGTGTCTGTGGTCAGTGCTCCATGTCAGTGTCTGTGGTCAGTGCTCCACGTCAGTGTCTGTAATCAGTGCTCCATGTCAGTGTCTGTGGTCAGTGCTCCCCACGTCAGTGTCTGTGATCAGTGCTCCATGTCAGTGTCTGTGGTCAGTGCTCCATGTCAGTGTCTGTGGTCAGTGCTCCACGTCAGTGTCTGTGGTCAGTGCTCCACGTCAGTGTCTGTGGTCAGTGCTCCACGTCAGTGTCTGTGGTCAGTGCTCCACGTCAGTGTCTGTGGTCAGTGCTCCATGTCAGTGTCTGTGATCAGTGCTCCATGTCAGTGTCTGTGATCAGTGCTCCCCACGTCAGTGTCTGTGGTCAGTGCTCCCCACGTCAGTGTCTGTGATCAGTGCTCCCCACGTCAGTGTCTGTGGTCAGTGCTCCATGTCAGTGTCAGTGATCAGTGCTCCCCACGTCAGTGTCTGTGATCAGTGCTCCACATCAGTGTCTGTGATCAGTGCTCTCCATGTCAGTGTCTGTGATCAGTGCTCCCCACGTCAGTGTCTGTGATCAGTGCTCCCCACGTCAGTGTCTGTGGACAGTGCTCCCCACGTCAGTGTCTGTGGTCAGTGCTCCATGTCAGTGTCTGTGGTCAGTGCTCCCCACGTCAGTGTCTGTGGTCAGTGCTCCCCACGTCAGTGTCTGTGATCAGTGCTCCCCACGTCAGTGTCTGTGATCAGTGCTCCCCACGTCAGTGTCTGTGGTCAGTGCTCCCCACGTCAGTGTCTGTGATCAGTGCTCCATGTCAGTGTCTGTGGTCAGTGCTCCCCACGTCAGTGTCTGTGATCAGTGCTCCCCACGTCAGTGTCTGTGGTCAGTGCTCCCCACATCAGTGTCTGTGGTCAGTGCTCCATGTCAGTGTCTGTGGTCAGTGCTCCCCACGTCAGTGTCTGTGATCAGTGCTCCCCACGTCAGTGT